CGCAACCATATGTCAGTGACACTAACATTACTATAAATCAGTAATCAAAGAGGTAGGTAGCTGGAGCTTGACTAACCTTCAAAGTAGGGGAGAGAAGGGTCTTGAAGTGATCAGAGTTTTGTGAGATGGAGGGTTTTGGAGCTGAGCAATGCACTTGAAACGCCATAAATGAAGCTGTCATAACTCGTCTCGACCTCGCTCGACTGCCTTAATTAATTACTTGTTAGGACTTCTAGAGTAGGTCTTGCAGGTATATTATAGAGATTGTAAACTGTACTTCGGACCTTCTTGGCTTCTATCATTCAGATGCTTACTTTGTTTCGACGTGTTTAATATAATAATTTTCTATTTATAGACAGGGGAACTAGATATTTAAATCTAAACTTTATATTAAAAAAAGGATAATTGTAAGTATAATTTTAAGATTTCATTTAAAAAATATATTTTTAGTGAAAAACACATATTTCAAAAAAAAACATCTCCAATACAAACTCAAGCGATAGAAACAATGTTATCCAAACAAATAAAAAAGAAAAGGCATTAAGTCATTATCATCACTGTTTTTTTGCCTTTGATTCAAGCAGTTTTCTACGTGGGATTTAATAAATTTTTAAAAAATTAAAATTTTATAATCTTCCAATGAATTTGAATCCAAATTAACAGAAAAAAAAAAAAAAACTGTCTTATCACTTAGCCAACCATGGGCCATCCAGTGATGTCATCATTTCGCACAGAGAAAGCTTCTATACATTCCATATATTCGCTCGGCTAAGCTCGGATAGAGTGCGGCTCCAGAGATAGAATCGATTGGAGCGACTTGATATGTAGCTCGGCTTAACGGCTCGTCAGAGGCTGAGTGAAGCGAGCAAACGGGTTGATGCGCTGCGGGTCGGATCGAACCTGGGGAGATGCACGGATTCTATCTGTTTTGACGTCTCAAAACAGCGTCGTTTTGTCCAAGTATAAAAGGCAAAAAATTCCTCTTTCCTTCACATGCTTTTCCCTCATTTTCTCTCTCTTTTCTTCCCTTTCTCTACATTTCTCTTTAAGACACGAAGAAGTACAACGAATCTCGTCGGTTTCTATATTTTTATCCCGGAAACTAGGTTTTTTGGTCGAAAAGTCATCGAAAATTTTAAATTTTCGTCGAAAAATTCATCCAATTCTGAAAATTTTCTGAAAGTTTCCAAAAAAAAAATCTCCAAAAAAAAAAAAGAAAACTTTTAGCTTCTTCAAAAAAAAAAAAATATTGATTCTGATTACTCGCTCGTTTTCTCCCTTAACTCCTTCTCTATGTCTCAGTCTCCTCTTTTTTTGTTTCCTCCCCCTTTCTGTGTGATTATTGGATGATTTATATAAAGTTGGTCACGAGAGTTTGAAAATAAAAAACCTCTAGTCTGTTTATCCTCGTTTAAAAATAAATTCCTTTCTTGATCCAATTTTCAAACTTTAAATTTTTTTGGCAATTTTATTAGAAATAAAAACTTTGTTTTTATTTATTATCTTATTTTTTATTTTTATCTGAAACTCAACGAAAAATAAATTCAAAAGGTGGGTGTCTACACATTTTCAACTTTTGAAAATTTTCTTTAGATCGAGAAGGTTTCCAAGTTTTTAAAGCCTTTTTTAAAGATCACCACTTTGTTTTCAAGGAAAAACTAACCCACTAGTAATTTGTATTTTGAAAATGTATAACAAATTCAAAAAGATGTTCGAAATATGCTTGTGTTTGAAGACCCAATCACGGTACTAATGGCAAAAACGATGGACAATAAGTTTTGTAAGTATTAGGATGATTATAGTATGGTGTTGTCTTTTGTAGTTATACTTGATCTTCATTTTAAGTTGCAAAATTTGCAATATCTTTTGCCAAAATTAGGTAATGAAGATGAAAGCAAGTGGTTGGATGTTCTAGAAAAATGGAAACTACTTTTCAAAAAGTACGAGAATCAAAGTAATATTCATTCTCAATCATTTATGACGGCTTTTGATAGTGATAAAAGTAATCGAAGAAAAGTTTCTAAAGAAATTATTGTAAGTTTAATATTTATTTTTTTTAGCTAAAACTTTAATATAAATTACTTTAGTTATAAGATTATCACTTATTTCTTTGATAAAAAGTAACTTAGTTTTTTTTCTTTTACTTTAATTGTAAATTTATTATTATAATTTGATATATGGACTTACTTTACTTTATTATTATAGGGATTTAAAAGTTATAATTTGAGAAGACTGTAGTAATGTTGAATTAGTTTTCTCATGAAAGAGGATTAAAAGTTTCTCATTACAATGTATGTTGATATTTTACTTTATAATATATTTTTTTGTTGTAAAAAAAGTTGAGAATTTTTTATTAACAATAATTGTGTTGTTTTTATTGTAATTTGTAGGTCAAATTTTAGATGTTCGGCTGACTTAACCTTGATGATGATGCATTATTCTTAGAATTTTGAAAACTTTGGTTATTTGATTTTAAGAATTGAAGAACATCTTTTATTTTTTTATATTTGTTTAGATATTGTATGTTTAATTTAATTATTTAATTTTCTTCATATTTATATTTTAATTTTAAAATAATATGTTTTAATTTATAAGATAATTTTTTTATTTTCAAGTAAAATTTATATTTTAATATAATATGTTTAAAACATTAAAAATCTAACTTAAAGTTCATTTTTTTGTTAATAATGGTCTTAATGTTTTTCTCAAAACATCAAATTAAAATTATGATATAATTCTTTTATATATGAATTATCAATATATCAAAATTAAATTTTAGTTATATGGAATAAGTGTAATGAATCAATAATATATTGTAAATGATTTTTTATAATGAAATTAAATGTTAAATTAATGATATTAGTTTTTTTTTTTATATTGATAAATATTGTAAATATAATGAGATAGTTTTAAAAATCATCATATTAATATTTGGTGTGTCAAATTAAATTTATTTTATAATCAAAATTAAAAATTTAACATTAATTTTGTTGATTATTTTGATATAATTATTTAATAATTATCAATAATAACATTTTTAAAATTTAAAATTTTTAGTTTAAAAAATATTTATTTTTTATTTATTTAAAAAATTGTATAATTATAGTTTTGATTTTCACGGATGTAATTCAATTTTTTACGGATTTATATCGAATCAGTCTCAAGTTCGCATTATTGCAGATATGGATTATGACAATTCGGATTGCATCGATTTCAAACTTTTTTGAATTCAGATTTTTTCAACTTTGGATTTTGTCAGATTCAGATTTTTTCGGATAAGATCTTTTCGGGTTTCAGTCTTTGACTTCTTTTAATCAATTCAGATTGATTCAGATTTGGTCATAGATCGATTCGGACGGATTTTTGGGCTCGAATCAGCTTTGCCACCTCTAATTATGCTCCAGACAACAACAAAATGTTCTGCAGATGATCTTTCTGTCTGTCTGTCAGCTTTTTCAACTTAATTCACAAATGTCCTGTTAATGATTTTCTTTTTTCTTATCTTTACATCGATACAAACTAACCATGCATAAAGATCAAAATGTCACCAAACGTAATTTTCAGTCTTTTTTTCATGTTTATGTCTGGTATGAACTGTCCCTGAAGATAAGTCCATAAAAGTCTTGAAGCTTAGCGAGTTCTGCAATTTTTCGACCTTAACCGATGGCTTCTCTTGTTTGTTTGGTGTAAATCCGACAATAACTAGATGTTCTTATTTTACTTGAACTTGAAGACAAGAACTAATATTACACTTATTCTACCTATATTACATATTGTGTTCATTTTTAAAAGAAAATTTTGAGGACCACGTCTAAAATACAAATCTTATATGATAACCATTAATTGTCTACTATCTCATATGATAAACAGTTTTTTTTCTGGGAAGATGTCATGTGCTTTTAATTAGGTAACTAAGGGGAAAAGAAAACAAACTTATGTAGATTCCCTCAGGAAAATCACTTGGAATTTTGCCATCAATGTTGGTGATAAGAGCAGCTTCTCTCAATTCATCTACTGGCGCAGAGTTACTCTGTCCAACATTTGCAAATATAGGTGAACATACATAGCTTCCACGTGCAATTGTCAAAGCACGCAGAAAGAATCCATGAATTAAGGCAAAATATATGCTATGATATACCTGAGATGGGTCCAATGGGTAGTCAACAAACTGGAATGCAGAATCTACAAATGTGTCAAGCAACTTAATGGAAGTGTTCTTGACAGATTTCAGGACTTCAACTCGAAAAGCAAGTCGTTGCAATTCTCTTAGAAAAGGCTGTCGCAAGAAATGAAAAATCTATACGTTACATTCAAGCCTAGTTCTTCTCAGAGAGAGAAAGAGAAAGAGGAAGTAGCTAACCTTGAAAGAAGAGGCAAGATCGGTTGTCTTGAGGAGATCAAAGTTGGGTGTGAATGAGATGGAGGGCTTGAGAAAGGAGCAATGCACTTGAAATGGAACATAAGAAGATGCCATCTTGATTTCTTACCTTATTGTTAGAAAAATAGAAAGTTAAATTGCAACCCAACAGGTTGTGATTTGTGAACATAACAGCAAACTAAGGTCTTATATATCATGTATGTACGTAGTACACATGCACTTCATATTATTGAGACAGCTCAAAAACATTAACGTGTCATACAAAACAGAACAAAATAACAAACAGAATTTTTTATAGGTTTTCTATGGTCAAATTTCTTGTTTTTTTAATCACATTTAATTCTAAACAAAGAAATAGTTCTTAACTATGAAAATGTTGTTCATGTCTTCAAAATGAAAATTTTGAGCTAAAAAAAGGAGGGAATAATTTAGGGACACCAAGAACGAGCAAGAATTGTCAATTTTGACTGTTGAATTCCCACTTGAAGTTGTAATTTGGTTTGGTGGTATTCAAGTGGCTTGAACCCAAAAATATCAGCCGGGCGCATTCAATACCAATATATTGATTTATCCAAAATCGAGTGAACTTGACCAATACTGAAAAAAAAAATAAAAAAATAAAAAGAGAGAAACATTTAAGTTGACTGAACTGCAGCAGCCTTTAACCAGAACAAATGTTCAAGCGATCAAATCTTGCATCACTGGTTGAAGATTGAGATGTTGAAATTGTCAAATTCAAGCAAATGCTTGGGCCATGTAATCTTTTGAACATCAGACAACCAACAGAGTTGCCTTGGGAAGGTGATTTCTCGCCCACAAGGACAACAAAAAATTTTTACGGGGGCCCATGTGATCTACATTTCACCTCTAAGGAATATCTGATTCACGAATCAACAGCACTAACAAGAACGCAGGAAAGTGGGAATTCAGAAACAATCAGTGCAGAAAACTATTTTCTTTACATCAATTTCTAATACAATTTGGTCAAGAGCGATTATGAGAGAATGAAGAAATGAGGGCCATAAATCAGTACAACAATGGCTATAGTAATATCCAGTATAACATGAAATCCCACAAACCACTGAATCCCTCAATCAGAGCCTGAAAATCTGATTCAGTCATCCAGCTTTAGATGAATCAGTTGGGTGCTGTTTCAAGCTCCTGAGAAAATCAGACAACTTAACACTTTCAGCACAACCTCGTTCTAGGCAGTAAAAATAATCATCCACTGGGACAAGAGCTCAAATAAGAATCTATTAGAAGGAAATACGATAGTATCAGAAATGTTTTAAGCCAAACTAATACTTCAAAAAGCCAAAGACAAAATTGTAATAGAAGCAATAACATCACAGTTGTCACAACACCATAAGCACATCTAAGACATTAAAAGAAAGCGCTCTACTTCATCCAAGCTAGTGTTAACATTTACCAATTTATAGCTCTATAATGGTTACTGGTGAAAAGAAACAGTCTCTTTGACAGCTACCTTAAATCCCCAAAAACATGACATTTTTTACAATTATATGTGATTCCACTACAAAGAAAAATTAATTTAATAATGATAGACCAATATGGTGTGATATTATACCATGGGTAACAGACATAATAATCCCGTGTTCTATGGGTTAAACTTGCACACTTAATGATCCTTCTGGAAGGACTGAATGGACTGAGTTTGGGAAGACTAAATATGCAAATGCCTTAATTTTCTGCTATTATAAAAGACATAAATGTCATAAGATAGGAGTCAAACAAAATTTACAAAAAGCCAACTACTCTATATTCAATCTGTCTAAAGCACCACTCAGTTATCCCATATGAAAGCTGCTACTGTCAAATTATAGTTTAGAGTACAAAGTATCATCAATATCATTGGATATTTATCCAGGGGAAAAGCTATACTCTTTCCTTTCTTTTTCTGGGGTTTAAAAATTTCACACGTGTGCTAAATTCTTGTTACTGAAGAAATTTTATAAGAAGAAAATAAATCAACAAAAGGAATTCTTTAATAACCTGCTCTTCTAGCTTGGTGGGATCCAATATAACATATCCACTCTTGGGAGCACAACAACAGATTGCAACTGCACCATCCAGCATAAAATCAGCAAGAAATTAAGTATTAAGTATTAATTATTAATGAAACATGAATATGACTACTTATCTGCATTGCTTATCAGCAAGATGCTTCATAGGAATTCCTGCATCTACAAGGGCCACACATGCTGCATTTATGGCACTCGGGAGAACCTAAATGAGGTAATATCAAGGATTATCATGATATCATCAAGAAGATGTGTGATATATCCCTGATCGCTTACTATCAATGGGGTGGGGGGAGGGGAACCAAACAAACACATAATAATTTTAAGCAAAAGTTACCCAAATGAAATCTCTATCATGGGGACTTTACAGGGCGGCATCATTGGCTAATCAAATTGTAGCTTTCTCAATGTAAATTCCGAGTGTCTATTAACACATAAACATTCGAGCATAATCTCTGGATAAATGAAACCTTGGGAGCAATGAAATGAAGCAGTAAAACAATCCTAAGGAATATGCATAAAGGATACAGCACCATCATCATTGACAACCTGCAACCGAAAACATAAAAAAACTCAAATTAGAAACAATTTGGGCATAAAGAAGAGATATTTTTAATAGAGAGTTAATCAAATAGCTCACCTGAATTATAATCGATGTTGTACTATTTGGATTGACAGTCAAAATACAAATGCTCTGCAGAGTTCCCTTCAATATCATCTCATATTCCTTTTCCAATTTACCGAAACACCAATGGTAATATTTGGAAAAATTCCCAACGTACTAAACATCAAACGCAAGAATGACAAAAAGGGGTTCTAAAAAATTACCTATCTGTCCTGTTTTAGGCTTCCAAATAACTTCAATCCAAGCTTTCTCAGGATTCTCATTCTTTCTAGTTCCAGCTTTCCGCCCATAAACAGCAGCGAATACTTCAGTGTCTCCTAAATAAAAATTAACAAAAAATAAACAGATTTATACTCAAAATATTATGTTTTCCCAACAAAAATGTTACTACAAGGAAGTACCTTGAGACCAACTGGCAGAGCCATGAGCACGATGGAGGATGTTTCGAGAACAAGCGAGAGGTCTCAACTGGTTCTGCGTGCGTCCGTCTTCCCTATCGACCTCCATTGCTCTCTCACGCTCAGTAATCATGCTTGTTTATCTCCAGATTTACTTTAATTAAGGAGAGATTAAGGAAATGGGATTCCAAATTTGCTAATTGCAGACACTTCCAACTGCGATGAACTTTTGTTCTTTATTGAAAATGGTTTTGGGGTTAGAGTTTTAACCGTTGTAATAGGTCGGGCCGTCGGATTAACAAACCGGAGATGGGGGATGAGTTTTGCCCGTGGTTAAAGTTTTTAGTTTCTATCAATAAAAAAGAAAAAGTTTTTAGTAAATGTTTTATTTGATTGGGAATTTTTGGGACTTTTATTATAATAAAATAAGATTTATATTTTCGATATTTTAAAGCAAAACAAAGGAGACTTCATTTTGGCAATGTAATTTTGGAAGGATCCATTCTATAATTATTGTTTTGATTTTCTCTTAACATAATGGTTTAACTTTCTATTTTCAATGAATTCAAGCATTATAATATTAAAACATCACCCTTTTATATTTAAAAATAAAACATTATTCAACAATTAATATCATCTTTTTCTTTTCCTTTTATATAAGAGGGATGGAAGGGTTTTTGATTTTATTTTTTTTTCTAAAATGAGGTTAAATGTAAAAAATATGCTTTAATTGTTAATATTATTTTTTGATATAAAAAATCGTAATATAAATATAAAAAAAATTACAAGAGTTGACATTTTAATTTCAAATTTATTAAAAATCATTATTTAAAAATAAATTAAATGAATCAGATTTTTTAAATTATAATCATATTCAAATATTAAACTTACATAATTAATTACTATATCATAATTAAATTATAATTACATAATAATCAGTTAATAAATTAAAATATAATTAAATAATCCATCTCACACATAATAAAATTTAAATTTAAAACTTTAAAATTTTAAAATCTTCTCTTTACTACTAAATTAAAACTTTAATTCCATTGAATTAAATCTTAAATTTTAAAGAATAATAATATTAATTTATTGCCTCTCGGTTCGTATTGATGGTAGCAGAGGGCCTTAGGGTTTATATTAATGCATATTCCCTGCAACCATAGGAAAAAAAAAAAAAAAAAAGAGTGAGAATGGCTTTTCATGTGAAAAACCTTTAATGATCCTGACGTCCAGGGCGACATCGACGTAACAAATATTTGTCCATAATGTTTTAATTATAAGGTCAGCCAGGCCTCGTGAACGCATCCACCCACCCATAAAAAATGAAAGAAGAGAACCAAAATAATTATAGTAACACTATGAGGTCAACATCATCGTTGTTGGCCGCCAGGGGTAGAATTGAGGGAATTTCAAGTCACCTTTAGCTGTCTAATGCTTCGTGTTTTACTCATGCCGCGTGGCACGGGCACCAACTGCCCCAACGCCTAACGGTAAGGTTATCGTCCGTACCAATACAATATTCAATAATTCATCATCTCATCTCCACTGCCTTATTGCCAAGGTATTTACATTATTAATTAATAATTAATTTAAATTCGAAATATATAAATAAATTTTTATGTTTTTTATTTATTTGTATAGAAGGGAGAGGAAAATAAAATCATGTCATACATTTGATTTTTTTTATCTTATAGGTTGTCTCAATAGTTGGAGTATAAAAGACAAAATTTCCAATTTAAAAGTAAAAAAAAAAAAAATTTCAAGTTTTAATATTTTCTTAAAAGATTGAGAGAAAGATTAACGGGAGTCAAACGGGGACACGGGGTCCGTTAAGTTAGGAAAGAATTGATGGAGCGCCAAATGCGCCGCGCGTGGACAATACTGTCGGCCGTTGGGTAAGAAGTCAAAAAGTTAGGTGGTTAATTCGTAATATCGGAATACACGACTGTGCTTTCTTGTCCAAAAAGATAATAAAAGCTTAGCTTCTGAAGCAAACAGAGATTCACCGTTTCCAACTTCTCGGTAAAGCCAAAAATTCAGTAAAACAGAAGCTGCTTAGAAGCCTTCAAATTCCCATTCCAGCCCCCCATGCAAATCAAATAATTCACTTTTTGGCTACTGAGAAAATAGAAACCTTCATCTTCATAAAAGGAAAAGCAAAAGCTAAAGATAACAACAAAGGAAATAGGAGGAGATTCCGTGTCTAGTTTTACAACTGTCCACCTCTTTGACAATATTCCATGCTTCTTTTCTATTCTTTGTTTTCCTGAATTCCAGAATTTCGCTTAAATCATTTGGTTTCTTGTCTACCAAACAGAAGAATGAGAGTTCGAGGAGCGTAAATCGTAAGCATTTTTCTCCGTGGTTTTAGTTGACTTTTGACTTTTTGTTTGTTTTGCCACATCTCTATTCGTTTTCTCGATTTCCATGTTTGATTAATGGAAAGAACTAGCGTTAAATCGATACTTGAAGATTCATATATTGCGCGGCGTGCTTAATTTAATCGTTCTTTTGACCATGCAACAAGTCGATCTTTGGAACAATTTAGCTTGTTTAGTAGATCTCTAACCAGAAAATTAATACTTAGCACATTCCTAAGCTCTTTTTGCTTCAATTATTTTGTTCTGCACTTTCTAAATTATTGAGTATTTTTGCTACTTGATTGTTCGTTGACTGCTAAAATAGATATACAATTGGTTGCTATACTGATTTTTTTCTTGAGTTAGGTTCATGGGTTAGTAAAGGAGTTACATCTTGACTAAATTCAGGGATTGGGGAACACAATGCAGGGATGATACTTAGCATTGGAACTCAGTTGACGATCTTGGTGGAGTGGTTTCTCAATGGGGCATGAACTTAAATCTTTGTTTCAATTGGATACCAGGAAATTGATATGGCTTATAGGAATTACGTTTGTAGTGATTATAACATTCCAGTATGTTGAACTTCCATATGAGAATGTTTTGTCGACATTATTTCCTTCTGCTGAGGTTTCAGTTGAGGGAGAAAGTAGTTTCTTAGCTAGTGGTCCATCATCAGCTCAGTCGGAGGTGGTGCATAATGTGACTCATTCAATTGGTTTGGAGTACAATGGCACATATGCTGCTGGTAACGAGACAGCTCTTGATAATGATATCTCTGAAGGAAAGGACACAGATTTGAATAATGATGTTATATCAGAAACAGATGTGGACTTGAATAAATCTTCTACATTTGATGAGGGTAGTGAATCTCCAAAGGAGTCTTCAACTGAGGAATTGGTCGAATTAAATAAGAATTCAACAGTGGATTATGTTGAAAGTTCCAAAAATAAGACTACGGCAGAGGAGGGTGGTCGTCTATCATGGGAGTCTGAGAAGGAAGGTAACATGACAAGTTTAAATAGTATGAACCAAACAGGTGTTGTTAATGAAACAGTCAACGATTTTAGGAGAAATGACAAAGATCAGAATACTGATTTCATATCAGAAGGAGAAGTAGGCTTGAATAAATCTGCTATGTTAGATCATGATAGCACTTCTTCTAGGGACTCTTCAACTGAGGAATTTGAGGACCTAAACAAAAATTCCACAGTGGACTATGCTGAAATTTCCAATAATAACTGTAGCAGAGGAGGCTAGCAAAACTGAGGAAAGTTTTTCTTCAAAGAATGATACTGTTGATATCAACACTTCAAACAACAATATTGGAAACAAAAACATTACTTTAGCACCAGCAAGCACAGTGCACTCAAATCCTGGTATTGGATCTCCTTTGCCTGCCTTACCCCTAAAAAATTCATCAGCTAACACTACCTTAGAAAAAGATGTTGAGACAAATATCAGGACTCCTGTTGTGTCTTTCAATTCCAGTATATCTTCAGTGGAGCAACATGTGACACCAAGTTTTGACAAGAATGCAAAATCAGAAGAGATTCAGAACAATTTCCCCGCATCAGGTGATAACTCTTCTCTCCCCAGCACTCCTAGGATGAAGAAAAAGCCTGAGATGCCACCTGCACTAACTACAATAGCTGATATGAACAATTTGTTTTATCAGAGTCGTGTTTCATATTATTCTAAGGTATGCTCAAACATTTTGTTTTCAGTTATTGCCAAGGAATAAATTTAGTTCTATATTTCAATGTTTCTTTCTATCTCCATTTTTTTGTAGACACCGAGATGGTCTTCAGGAGCAGACAAAGTTCTACTAAATGCTAGATCGCAGATCCAGAATGCACCCATTGTAAAGAATGATCAGCAACTTTATGCACCCCTTTATCGGAATGTTTCTATGTTCAAAAGGTGGGTTATGACTCTAATTCCTTTTTCATTTTTAATCACTACATTAAAAAGTCTTACAAGGAAAAATAGAGGCAGATGCAAGAAAAGAAAGAGAAAAATCATTCAAAAGAGAAGTGGAAGTAGCCAATCAAAGTCTAAATGAAGGAAAGGTTCTTAAATCATTAGGTCATCTGCAATGTAGGTGCAGGGAGGCACAAAGTGGTCGTTAATTGATGTAGAAGGAAATAAAAGAATTAGAGTTCAACTGAAATCACGGGAATACTATTAGGCAAGAAGAAATAAACTTTTCCAGATACTTCATGAAGAGTATGAGCTAGAGTTTGCATAGTGGAGGGAAAGGATTCTGGGTTGCTCGATAGGATTAAAAACTTAATCATTAATCATTTTAAGTTTATATCCGTGAATAATTCTTCCTTAGAACCATAGGAGTGAGCTTTCAATGTATAATATTTAACAGAGAATCCAAACTTAGATAACCTTACCCTTGTTAGGCACAAAATCCTCTAATCCAATTAAACATCCAAGCCAGCGAAAACAAAATCAAAGAATCAATCAATCAATCATATAAGAGATAATAACTTAGCATAATTCGGTCCAATCGACCTACGTCTACTGATGAGAAACAAGTTTCACTAGTTGTAGAGAATTACATCAAAACAAATAAATTTTACTCACAATTAATACCCGTAGACCCTCTCAATCTGCTTTAGTCCTATGGAGTATTCTTAACTCAAATAAACTCATACCCATGTGTAATATTTCAACACAAACAAACATATACTCATATGCACCCATGCATCATACCTATGTGGACCTTTTCAGTCTCCTCCAATCTACTCATAAACATTCAAATATACACACTTATAAGACGTAAATCTCCGGTAATCCTATGTGCTGTCTACCCATAAAATCCTACAACTCTTATATTTTTTTTTAATACCTAAGCCTATAAAAACTTCACTTATTTATAAGCATACAAACTTGCCTATCAACAATCTCTTTCTTCTTAGAATTCTTCTTTTGTAAGTCTTTTTGTCCATCAAGCACTATCTAACAAATTTCAAACAAATCTATTATAAGATTTGAGTCACTATTCCCAACACCCCTTACCTTGTACCTTTACTCAACAATACCAATATGGTTCATTCCTTTGAACAATTTAATAGTGTGATAGAATGCTGCATACGTGGAAATGACCATCTCTTTAAATGGTTCTGGTGTTTCTAATTCTTCTCCCTTTTCTTTTTTCATGTTAACAAAGGTAAAAATGGTTCATTTTTCTTGATGTTAGTTTTTTTTTGGCAAACGTAACCATGTTAAATTGGCTGAGTAAGTTTGGAAGAAAAAGGGAAACAAGGGATCCTTTAGTGGAAATAGGTTGCTGAAGTTTACCACTAAATGGTTTCTGATTCAATGCGAAGAAGAATTGCAATAACTCTTGATCAGTTTTGGGCAAAACAAAAATTTGTTATTGCCACTCAAGTGCATAATGTATAAACAATTTTACATCATCAATTGCAGGAGTTATGAATTGATGGAAAGCACACTCAAAGTATACATCTACAAGGAAGGAAAGAGACCCATAGTACATACACCACCTCTCAAGGGTATTTATGCCTCTGAAGGATGGTTCATGAAGCAGCTGGAAGCTAATAAAAGATTTGTTACTAAATCCCCAAGAGAAGCCCACCTGTTTTACTTACCTTTTAGTTCTAGAATGTTAGAGGAAACCTTATATGTGCCTGATTCTCATAGTCATAAGAACCTTATAGAGTATTTGAAGAACTACGTGGACATGATTGCGGCAAAATATCCTTTCTGGAATAGAACTGAAGGAGCTGATCATTTTTTGGTTGCTTGCCATGACTGGGTATGCTTTTCATTCTTTCTTGGGTTTTGCCATTACGTTTTACAGCGTGTTTGGAACTGTTCATAAATTTCAAATAATCCATTATTTTACTTGGCAATAGCATTTGATAATAGGTTAATTTTCCTGGCATTTGAAACAACTTAAGCTATTTTACTTTGTTACTTCTGGGAAGTTATTGCCAATAATTTGGGAGCTAGCGGTTGATTTTTCTGCAGTCCTAAGTTCTCATCTCCCTGTTTTTACCTTGACTATACATGCCTTTGTATGTGTGCATTCATGTCAATTGCTCTGCTTATTTTCATTTTTCTGTTTAGAGATAGCAATAAGTTGATATTTTTAATAATATGCTATGATAATTCTCAGTTTTTATTTTTTTTCCTGGCACTATATTCTAATAAACGCTGCTTTATCAGGCACCATCTGAAACAAAGGAATACATGGCCAATTGCATCAGAGCCCTCTGCAATTCTGATGTTAGAGAAGGTTATATTTTTGGCAAGGATGTGTCTCTTCCTGAGACCTATGTTCGGAATCCTCGGAAACCTCTAAGAGATCTTGGAGGCAAACCTCCTTCTAAGAGATCAATCCTGGCTTTCTTTGCGGGAGGCATGCATGGTTATTTAAGGCCAATTCTATTAGAACAGTGGGGAAACAAAGATCCTGACATGAAAATCTTCGGTAACATACCCAATGTTAAGGGGAAAATGAACTACATCCAGTACATGAAGAGCAGCAAGTACTGCCTTTGTCCAAGAGGTTACGAGGTTAATAGTCCACGGGTGGTAGAGGCCATTTTCTATGAATGTGTTCCAGTGATCATATCTGACAATTTTGTGCCTCCTTTTTTCGAGGTTTTGAATTGGGAATCCTTTGCTGTCTTCATTTTGGAGAAGGATATTCCCAATTTAAAGAAGATCCTCCTTTCGATCCCTGCACAGAGGTATCGGCGGCTGCAGCTGATGGTCAAAAAGATACAGCAACATTTTCTTTGGCATCCCAGACCTGAGAAGTACGATATATTTCATATGATTCTCCACTCAGTTTGGTACAATAGAGTTTTCCAAATTAAGCCTAGGTAAGTGAACAGAACAGAAAATTGCGTAAATAGATTGTTGAGATTATCATTTCATGATAGAAGATGAGACATTTTAGTTCAAAATTTGTTTCCACATTATTTTGTTGTATATAGATTGAGTGAATAAAACTACATTGATGTTTTTCACTGCAAGAGGTTTTAGCATCCAATCATTGCGAAAAGTTTCCACATGATTGATTTTCTTCTGTTTGGTGGTTGGCTTTTTCATGTAATAGTTAGTAGTAGTTCATCAATCGTACCTTCATTATTCCATCTGACACATGTTGCAACTTTACAATAAGAAAAAGCAAAGTCACTTGGACTTTGGAAACATGAAAAAAGGGGAAAAAAATAGTTTTCTTGTACGTGTTGATCAATTGGAGTGCGTCTTTTGATTATAAAAAGCAGATAACAAGAAAACTGAAATTGGGAATTTTCTTTTCCGTCGTTTTCCATCGAAACAAACAGAACAGAAAAACCCACATGGATAAACGTTAAAAATTCAGCCTATTATCACGCAAATCAAACCTCAATGGGCCCCACAGATACATAAAAACCTGTATTATATTACTTATTACAAGGAATCAGCGGCAGCTTCGACTCTTTCCCAGAAAACCCATTTGTCGGTTCATTACTACCCGCCAAATATGCATGTAAGTTTTAATTCTTACTTATGTTTCTTGATTTCTTTGAATTGGGAAATTTCTTCTCCCATGGAGAAATATTAAATGCATTTTCTTTTGGCTATATTTTCTTGGCTCATCTTTGATGATATGAGTTCTAATGAAAATATCCCTTTTCTATTCTAGCTATTCTTCATTCTGGGTTGCCAAGAAAATGCATGTAAATTACATGAAATGATTTTTTTTCTTTTGGGACACTTGAGATCCACTCATCTTTTTTCATGAATTTCCCAATTTGTTAACTATCATGCAAGCGGAAACTGTTTTTCTTTAACTGGTTATGTTGGATAACTCTTTTTTCTGTTTCTTCATTTCATTGTTTGTTTTGTTGCCACCTGCCCTTATCGATTACTACTTTTGTCCTATTTGCTTTTATATTTTGGGACCGAATTCTTAAAATCAGAATCTTTTGCTCAAACTTACTAAAGCATAATGCAGATTTGCCTCTTAATTACTTTATAGTTTGTTGCATTTAATACCTTATTCATACTTGTAATTTGATATCTAATTTTACGTGAACTCTCATTTTTCTTCGAACTTCCTATAATCGCATGATATCTTACTTGCCACATTGTATGCGTGTTTTTTAGTTACTGTTGCAAGCCACCAACTAATGTAACTGCTCTTCTGTTGTGACATGGATGGGAGTTTTCGACTCTTATGTCCAGCGGAAAGCAGGAGACTTCTCTTGCTGATGGCTATTACACTTGCTTTAGTTTTAGGAGTTCAACATTTTGAGCTTCCATATACTGAAGTTTTTACATCTTTCTTTGCTGCTGGCAAGAATGGGAGCTTTCCAACTGGAGGGTTGTCATCAAAATCTGGGATGGTTGATAATGTCACATTTTCAAATGGTTTAAACTCTACTCGTACTTATGCTGTTAATGAGACAGAAAATGGTGCAGAGGTTTCAAATATGGACAAAGAAACTGCTCAAGGAAATGAATCTGAAGAAAAAGACAAAAATACCAAGAACGTTTATGTATCAGAAAGCAATGCAGGTTCAAATACTTCTTTTGGTTTATCATTTAATGGATCTCCATCAGACAATTTTATAGCACCAAATATAAGCTCCACGTTGGATAATGGTGACAATGTAGTAAATGGTCCTGCCCTACATGCAGCACCCGAGCAGAACTTTTCTTTTGAGCATAGTATTACTAGAGATTATAATTCTTCATCTAGTAGTGGAAGCTTTGGTCGTGATTTTGCATCGCCTGCATCTCCACCAATGATTTCACCATCCATTCCACCAGATTCAAAGTTAGAAAGCTATGTGTCATCTGTGAACACATCATCAGTTGGCAAAAATACCACAGTTACAGTTAAAAAGGATAAAGATCCTTATTTCCTCAATAACACACCTTCCCCATCTGTAAATGTTAATTCTGAAAATACAGTTCCTGCAGTAAGGGAGAAAAGATCCAAGAAGCCTAAAAAGAAGTCCAAGAAACCACCAAAGATTGTTGTCTCAATATCTGAGATGAATGATCTGTTGCTGCAGAGTTATGCTTCACCCCATTCAGTGGTATATATAGACTTATATCTGAATTGATCAGTTTTGCATTGAAGTCGATGCCAAATTCTTTAAAACTTACTTTTGTTCCTGAAATGTATTGCTTGTAGGCTCCACCACAGTCGTCAAAAGTACAGCCGGAAGTAAGTTTTGCAAAATCACAGATTTTGTATGCACCTGTTATGACAAATGATTCAGGACTTTACCCATCTCCGTATCATAATGTTTCCATGTTTAAAAGGTATACCTTGGAGATTCCCATTTAATTTGTTTTTACTCATTTTTGTTTTGTCTAATGCATAAGAGAACCTTATTTATCTCACTTTGTTACTTTGTTGAAGACTAGGATGTACAATTGCCAAGCTTTGTCAATCCTATATGTTAAAGATCGCAATTACGTTACAAAATGTATTTGTTTCATTATTAAAAGAATGTCATACGTTGCAGGAGTTATGAACTTATGGAGAGTATGCTCAAGGTTTACATCTATCAAGAGGGAGAGAAGCCCATTTTCCATCAAGGAATACTGGAAGGAATATATGCATCTGAAGGATGGTTCATAAAGCTCTTGGAAGCCAATAAAAAATTTGTCACTGAAGACCCCCAAAAAGCTCACTTATTTTACTTGCCATTTAGTTCACGGTTGTTAGAATTAACACTTTATGTACACCATTCACACAGTCGAAGCAACTTAATTCAGTACATGAGAAGCTATGTCGACATGCTTGTGGCAAAACATCCTTTCTGGAACAGAACCAGTGGAGCAGATCATTTTGTAGTTGCTTGTCATGACTGGGTATGCTTTTCCTGTTCTTGTTTAAATTACCGTAAGTTATACTTATAGGAGGCATCCTGGCACCTAATGTATCTAGACAATCCAGTTTTTATAATCTGCATAATGTACTGTTTTTGTTATGCACAAATGTCTATTTGAAGGGATATGAAGTTTGCTTCAAACATGATGGTTTTGATGTTCGCCTCTCATAACACAATTAATGATCACCTTCTACACTCATTTTCGTTTTGAGGGGTAGCATCTCTTTTCTAAGAGTTGACTCTGATTCTAGTCTATTCCACAAAGTGTGGGAAATTTTTTTGATGTTCAAATCTACGCTTGTCTGAAAGTTGAGAGACCAATCAAGCATTAAAACCACACAGTATTACTTACATTGCAATTGTAAACTACATGGACAGATTATTTCTCATTGCATTTTAATCTGTATTCCCCCTTTTTAAATGGAAACTATCTAATATCTAAGAAACTCTATGTTCACAGGCTCCAGCTGAAACAAGGGGACGTTTGCTCAACAGCATCAGAGCACTCTGCAATGCTGATATCGGAGTAGGCTTCACCATAGGCAAGGATGTTTCTCTTCCGGAAACATACGTGCGTTCAGCTAAGGATCCTCTGAAGAGTCTGGGAGGCAACCCTCCTTCCCAGAGGCATATCCTCGCTTTCTTTGCAGGGAACATGCATGGTTATGTGAGACCAATTTTGTTGAACTATTGGGGAAATGACCCTGACATGAAAATCTTTGGCCCCATGCCTCATGTGAGGGCAACACTAACTACATCGAGCATATGAAGAGCAGTAAGTTCTGCATCTGTGCAAGAGGTCATGAAGTGAACAGCCCACGAGTCGTAGAAGCTATATTCTATGAGTGTGTTCCGGTTATAATATCTGACAACTTTGTGCCACCCCTTTTTGAGGTTCTAAACTGGGAATCCTTTGCTGTTTTCATCCCGGAAAAGGATATTCCAAACTTGAAGGACACACTCCTTTCCATTTCGGACAAGAGCTATATGGAGATGCATAAAAGGGTGAAAATGGTTCAACAACATTTTCTTTGGCATGCCGAGCCTGTAAAGTACGATTTGTTTCATATGATTCTTCACTCCATTTGGTATAATAGAGTTTTCCAAGTAGGAACAGCATAAAATTTTTGTTTCATCTTCTGACTTGACAAAACTTGTCTTCATGTTTAATCACATGTATTAACACTTGACAGGTCAAAACAGAGCAAATATAATTGTTGATTTACTTGTTGACAGAACTGTTAAACTGGGATTTTTTTTTTTTTCTTTTGGTTTCTTCCTCAGTCCTCAACCTACTCTTTCTTAATAACTACATGAAAAGCGGAGCAAATCCTACGCATCATAAATGGAAAATGACTCGGCTTTGGGTCATTGAATTTTTTGACAAGATTCTTTTTCCGGTGAAACGCGAGGTTTCCCACCACGTGTCCCAACAGAACACTATCGAATTACGTGTGCCAACCGTCCGTTACCTGGAAGTCAGTGCAAAGGATACATATGTAAATACACCAAAAAGGGGTAAGAAAAAGAAAAGAGGTGAAGAAGGTTATATATCACATTATCGTCTGAAGTGACTGTTTCATCCCCAACAACCAACAACAAACTACCTTTAAGGCATATTCATCTAGGTGTCGTAAGGGTACTAATGTAATTTCACTTAATCTGGTTCAGCCTCCATTACATAAAAAACTTTGCTTTTTGAGTTCATGTGCATGTGGAGAATTGACAACCTTAAAAAGCTGTTAAAGGGCAATAACCAGTTAAAGTTTCAACCTTTCTCTATTTTTTTTTTTACATTTAATAATTTAACAGGCCAAAAGATATTAAACAGATTCTTCAATGAAGGCAAGAAGAAGAAGAAGAATCTAAAGATAAAATGAATTTTGATTAGATCAGGTTAGCAAATTGGCAAAGAATTGAAATTTGAAAGATAAAAAAATTTGTAGATATGACCACAGAGACCAAAGCCAATTTAGTTAAGGTCAAGACCAGTGGTCAAGATGGTTCTTCAAAGGGAAAGTTTGATGCTGCTGTGAACAGGAAGAAGATTGAAGGCTCCAGCAAACAGCCTGTTGATTCCAAGCAAAAATCTGTGTCAACTGTTATAACAAAAACAGAGGTGCCCCTCTCAGATTTCCTAGTTAAATTAAATTAATTTAGATTTGTTTGGTTTTTTATTGATTGTTTCTCAATTTGATGATTTGGGTTTCACTTTTTTCAGTGATTTGTTTAGTTTCTAAGTTTAGTTTGCTTATCTGTAGTAAATTCATAGATCTGGTATGGCTTTTTTGATCTATGAATTTAATTAATATGAGATGAATTGATAGATTTGGTATTCTATCTCTATGTATGGACATCTAAAAGTTTTTTCTCTTTTCTCCCAAGATGTATGAATTTCATCCTTTTCTATTTTCGATCAATGTTGAAGGTAAAATCGAAAACAAGTTCAAGTTCATCAAAAACCACTACAACCACAAAAACTAAAGTTAGAGAGAAGAAGGTTTATACTTTGCCTGGCCAGAAACATGATCCTCCTGAAGAGGTTGTCCTCGTATAATCTCACATCTCTGCATTTGTCCAGAAACATATATCTAATAATTGATGTTACTCAATGTTGTTTTCTACAGAGAGAGCCGTTACGAATATTTTATGAGTCTTTGTCGAAACAGATACCAACAAGTGAAATGGCAGAATTTTGGTTAGTCTTCCTTCTTCTAATAATACTCCTTGCATATGATTTAACTTTATAAAGGGCAGTGATTTGAAAATCTGCAGTTCTGGAATCTGGGACTTGTTTAACTGCTCAAGTCTTAGATCATGAGTTTTTTTTGCAGTACCTGTTTGAGGTTTTATATGTTGGGGAGATTCCCTGGTTCCCTGACTAACAATGTAGGAAATTTGTATTCATTAGAAAGGGTATCCTTGAACCAGTTGCTTGTTTCTCAGTTCAAACCTATCTTCTTGATGCCTTGTGGAGTTAAGATCATGTTGCAATCATCCTCTGTCTTCTGATGGTGGAAGTTCAATTCTTTTATGTGATGCTTACAGTTGTTTGGTTAGGATAATTACTATGAAATAAGCTTTCCTTGGTTTGATCTGAATGAAAGCAATTAATTATCTGCATAATGTGAACTTCACATATTTTTAACTGCATAATTTGATATTTTTTACCCTGCAATAGGGATAACCTCAATGTAACATGCAGAACTCCTGATATTTATGTTCGTAACCAATGTTTTCTCAATCGTATTGGAGAACAGAAATGGCAATATTATGGGTAACTTAGATAGAACATATGCTGGTTAATCAGGAACTAAAATTTTGGACTTTTCTGTTCATTAATTCACTGGCTTTTTGGTGCCAGAGAATTGACTTTTGGTACAGGTGACAATAGATAGCAAGATAAATAGTTGTGTTGCTTCTTTCCCGTATCACATACTCAAGTGATGATGATTTTTACTACTTGTTTGAATGACCATGCTGAGAACAGGAGATTTTGAGCAAAACTACAAAGGGATCTGGGTGAGCAGGCCAAATTCGATCTAAATGTTTTGGGAGGGAGAAGTGGCATTTTGGTGAGGAGGAATGTAGTATGAAGTTCTTTTTTTTTATTAGATTCCTCAGTGAGAGGCTTTTTAAAATAGCTGAGAGCAAAATTGATGGTTATCATTCTCCATGGTACAGAGAGGGAAGATTCTTTCTTTTGTGCTCATAGAAAGGCCAATTCCTTCTCTAGGAAAGTGCTTCTTATGTCTCTTCTGGATTGATCGACAATCCTGTTTTGCATTTCAATTGCCTGTGAAGGAAGAAGATTTTCTTTCAAATTCAAAATCTCTAGCTTCCTTTGTTCTAACATGATTTGGATTATAGAATGGATTCAAATTCTTTGGTGGTACTCTGGTGAAAATTAGGGCTGGAGGAGAAAAGAAGGGCAACAAGGAAGCAAAAGGGCTGTCATTTGGAGAGGTAACTTGAGATAAAGCTCAAGTTTTTACCCCATATTAGCAGCAAATGGAAGCTTCTAGAGTATCCTGACTCGATGCTTAATTGTTTAGCCAGCCCTCTCATGTTCACAGATTGTATCACCATAGTGAAAGAGGGAAATTGGAGACTGATTGGTCCTAAAGTAGTAGTTGGAAAAATTTTTTATGGTTTCCATTTAAATGGCAAACAAAAATGGCTGGCCTTATCTGATAGGGCTGACCAATCAGGTACATGTGAAGGTAGTGGTTGTTTGCTAGCCCGGGAAAGATAGACTCTGAACCTCATTTGTTTATGATTATGTTCCACATATACACAATCAGGTACACGTGAAGGTACATGTGAAGGTAGTGGTTGTTTGCTAGCCCGGGAAAGGTAGACTCTGAACCTCATTTGTTTATGATCATGTTCCACATATACACAAAGTTGTTTGAGATTATTACACTGGCCATGAGAGCATTGCTTGGAAATACAATGACCAGTCTCAAGCCTTGTGGCTGCATTCTTCTCCTCTCTTTTAAAAAGAAGAGTCGATATTAAAAGTAGCTTTATCATGTTAAATCAAGTCTGAGGCTGTTCTCTTGGATATATGCATTCTCTTTCAACTGTCATACTTCTCTTTTGTTTACTAACATCTAAACAGAAGAATTATGTTGTTGCACTTTGCTACACCTTATCCACTTTTGCTTCCGCAGGGTTTACTCTCTGACATAAGAAAGATTCATTTAATTTTCATCATTATATTAATCTTAGTAGAGAAAACATTGTTTAAGCTGTACAGAGACATGGATTGGGTCTCAGGTCTTGCGTCCGAGAATCAAAGCTATAACCACCTAAATGGTATATTTTCTGTGAAAGGCTCAATCTATGCTTACGAAAATAGCCTTGGTGACGTACCAATTCCATAAATCCTCAAGGAAGAAAAATTGCATTGCTCCAGGGACCAGAAAGGTTCTGGTTCCAAGCTTTCTGTTAGAACAATATGTGGCATCATGAAAGTCCCCGCGATAGAAAGGCTTTATGTATTCTGGGCAGGCTTGTTTCTAAGATGGTTCACTCTGCCCTTGTTGCTATCTAAACAAAGATCTGTCATTTAAGCCCAATTAATGAATTTGTCCGATCGTTGGCTCTTTAAAGTTTGTAGTATTTTTTCTGAGCTTTTGGTTTTGCTGTGTAGTTACTTCATTCTTGTTAGCCTTAAAAATCAAAGGGATGGCCTATTTCCACTTCAAAACTTGAAGTCTTTGTCTCTACATATTATCCTCATATTTTCTGGGGCGAACTTCCCACACAGATAAATAAACATATTACTACGGTTGCAGCTTGAGACATGAATTATGGAAGGAATTTTCCTTTTCCCTTTTCCCTTTTCCCTTTTCCCCTTTAATTCCCAGGATCCAGCATACAATAAATCAAACATCTTCTCTAATATAATCTTTTTCAGTTTGTTGAACGTAAGCCCAATTTTTTGTTGGATTAACCATTTTATGGGGATGATATTCAAGTTAGCAATGTTTTTTCTCCAGTCCAACAATGTTATAGTAATCCTTTTTGGTCTTGTAATTCCTTGGGTGCTAGATATGTAGAATAGATATTAGATAAACAAGGAGCTCAACTACCAGATTCCAACTGGTTTGAGTTAAAAGTTGATTTGAGTTGAGTTTGGTTCCCTGGATCCAATGTAATGTGGATGTAACATTTTCTATGTCTTTAGTTTGTGAAAGATATGTGCAAATATTATGATAGACTACTCATTAGTAAACTGTATTCTTGGATTTTGGTTGCCTTCAACATGAATGATACGACATGAAGTTTGGTCCTATGCATAAATTGGTTAAAGGGCTCTACATATATGAAGCATACATGAGTAAAAGATGTGCCACTCCTTTTGTTTTTCCTTCTTTAAACTTACGTTAATGAAGATTCTGGTGGATATATTATATTTCTAACTTGTGAATAGAGAAGTAACATGGCTCGATTTGCAGGATGATGGAACATGGCTTGTTGTCCCCTGAAAAAGCTAGAAAAGCATATGAAAAGAAGCAGAGAAGGCTGAAGCAACTTCGGACTGGCACTCCAATTAAATCTTCAAAACCAAGTCGCAAACCTGAGAGTTCACAGAAGCAGCAGCTGGCCTCAAAGAATGGAGATGTAAAAGCCAAGAAAAGAATCAACAATGATACTGATGATGATGATGACTTCATTTTAAGTCCCAAGAGAAGGAAAGGGTAAGAGAAAAGCTCTCCAATGTCTGTAGTGCTGTATTTCTAGGAATAATTTCATTTAAATTCCTTTCACAATTATCTGCAAAAGACTGGCGTTGTGAAAATACTAAAAATAATAGAGTAAGACATTCTTTATGTTTTACAACTTATGGGAATAATAAGAAAAGACAAGTTCCTTACTTGTTTGGTGCATGCTTTTATGTTTCATGATGTGAAGATCTGAATTTATGTGGCTGTCATGCTCAAGGAAATAAAGGCATCAAATTATGCTTGCAATTCACTGTAATTAGCAATTTTTAGATGTTTTGAGTTTGTTTTTGTTTTTTTAGGACACATTTTCGTTGCAGAACTCACTTTTCTAAATCAGACAGTACTGAGTTTAGCCATAGCTGTGATCCTGATCAAGAAACCTCCCCCTTAGGTGCTAGCCATTTAATCAGCAATAGTAAGAAAACAAGCTTTATGGTGGCACTGATCCTTGTATGCATGTAAGCATAAATATCCTGTTCATTGTTCTTTGTAAAACTATTGTTGCAAGATGAGGGATTGTTACATGACAATTCGGTTGGATTTTCTTCTATGGGAAAAGATCCTTTCCTCTGCTAAAAAGTAGCGGACATGTCTACTACTTTCACCATAGATTGACACGTGTACTTTTTAAAAAATGTAATATGAAAATTTGTGCACATCATCTTCATTAATCTTCATCCCTTATTCCATTCCCTTCCCACACATCAGAAAGGTCAGGAACATATAAATGGTATGATGATTTTTGTAGATTAATTGAGGTTTAGTTTCTGGAAAAGGCTTCTGGAAACATTGTCTAATTGTTAGCTAGGCAATCGCAGTGGATAAATAAAATGTGGTTCATCTAATTAGTTAGAGATTTAAGTAGAATGACCAATAATAAATTGGACATGATTAACATATCTTTGATAAGTAGAGGACAGATGACTAGACTAAATTTTGACAATAGGATAAAACTATTGAAAACGATTGGAGTGCAAAGTCCCTATTCCATGCATTTCTGGCAATGTGTTTGTTGAGGATCATCATCTGCCTTAAATTCACTCAGCAGCAGATAGCAATCGTATTCCTACAAAAGAAAAAACTGAAGACCATCAGAGACAGCATTATGGAGCTCGTCGAGAGAACACCGAGTTTCTTAATGCCACACTGGCATACAATCACATGGATAGAACATGAAAACTTAAGAGTAATGATGATTATAAATGAAGAAAGATCTTGATCAGGTCCCACGCTTGCCATATTTGTGAGGAATGTGTAGATTTTAAGCCGCATGTCCTCTTTGTATGGGCTGTGTGTATTTATAAACAACAGCCTGCACTAGTCTGCTTGCACATGAGCGGCTTGTGAATTAACATATTGGTTTGATATCAAGATTACCAAAGAGAAATAGTTGATTTCGGTTATTCAGGCCCCACTTATTATTCATGTAATTAATGAATGGAACAAAGTTGTAACCTGAATCATCTGTGTATGGGCAATGCATGTGACAAACAATCAGTACTGAAGCTGCATGATTCAGATCATTGGCTTTGGTCTTCTCTCTTCTGACTCTATTGCAGTGCACCGGCCATTAAAGATTTCCAAAAGTAGTAAGCTTCTTCTTACTGTTGGTTGCAAGGTGATGAAACTTTTCTGTATGTGATTTTGGAGTAGTGATCAGGTTGGTGTATAAACAACTACATTACTTCAGGTGAAAAGAAAAAGACAGACATAAGCGGGTAAACTTAATTTATTGACCATGTCAGTCAGGATACTCCCAGATTTTATTGAACAATTATGAACATAATTATGACTGAATACTTCATTTTTTGGATGCAAGAATTTGAGGGTTTTGACACTCCAGCCTGGTTGAGTGGCTGTCAATCCTGAATGAATATTACAAATTATAGGAAAAATGTATTCCCTTGAAAAATATATGAAGAAGAGAGCTAGATGCAGGAAGCATGACACTAATGAAAGGAGTCATGAATGTGGGTGTTATCACAAGTGGCAGCCTGGGCAGTGTAATACTGAGTACAGAATTGGTTCTGAGGTCCAAAAACCAACTCATGGGACAGCTAGGGCTGCTGGGTTAATTATGAAAAACTAAAGAGAAAGTAAAAAGAAACAAAGAAAACAGAAAAATCCTCTGATTATTGGTGCATTTTACTGCACCACAAATTGGTCTGCAGACAAAAAATAGATCATTATAAAAGAACAACAATGAATACAGTAAAAAGATAAATGTACATGAAATCACTTAGACATCCAGTGTACAAACCATGACATGATCTGTTTGTTGTCTCAGAATTCATAAATTGACCTTTTACAAAACATAAGAGTACACATAGAAACAAGATAATTAATAAGCTATGGACACATGCAGTCGGTGTATTGTGCTGTCCATGTGGTAATTAAGGTTTTACAAACTCTTCCTGTCTGAAGCCGTAATCCTTCATCAAACATCATCACCCCACCAAAACTTGAACATCCAGCGAGAACTTGTTTCTCAAGGCTTAGTTTTGTGCTAAAACAGTGAATGTACTGCAAAAATTCAATATTTCTTACTAAAAGATCGATGTCTGCTGTACAAGCCTGTTGATCACTAATTAAATCTCTATGCATAAAGCTGTTTCAGCTTCCGCTGCTGAGTGATGGCAGCTGGTAAAGTTAATTTCAAAGTCCACATTCACCCCCAAGTACTCCCTTTTCAGTTTGGCGGTGGAAAGTTAAAATGAAAGCCCTGCTGACTTGATGGGTTATCGTCGTTTTCCACATTCATGACCAGCTCAGCTTTACCCTTTCAATTATTGAGTTTTTGTTAAGATAAGCTAGCCATTGCCTCAAAATTTCTGGTGGCCCTATTTGTTCAAATTTCATACTTACAGTTCTTAGTTTCTTACATCAGTTCATGGAGCATAGAACTGCTGATCAGCAACGTACAATATCAAAACCAAACAAATCGAAGTTTCTCTAGATGTATCTTAATTTACATATTAGCATTTTTCATATTTATACACATAAACAAGCTAGTAAGTTGAAACAATATATATAATAATAATAAAATGAAACAACCAACTTTTGCCATATTAATTGTAATGGGTACATGTTAGTTACCTCATTTTGCTATTGGTGTACGGGGCAAGACTTTGGTGTTCCCAACCACTGGCCATAGCTATATGCATTTGATCCGTATATCCAGCCGTCCTAATGGCAGCTGCCGTCTGATCAGACTTTCTCTAGAGGTGTTTCCGGCTCCCAATCTCTCTCGTGTGCAACCCAATAATATAAGTAAAATTGCTTGATGGGTGTCGAAAATGCTAGCTAGTATATACCTGGAGCCATGGACCGAGAAGGTAGTTCATTATTATTATTATTTGATATATAAAATGTCAAGATTGAATTTTGATTATTGAAATTAAAAATTTAACATTTTAAAATAAATCATATAATTGTTGACATGATCTCATTACTGTTATAAAGATACATCCCACATTTTTCTTCAGAAAAAATGAATTACTTAGCTTTTTGCCCCTTTAATATAGGTTAGATGAGGTGGTTGAATCACACAACAAACATCTCCAAGAAAAATCAGCACTATGATCTTAAATTGTTGGTGTAGCTCGTTTCCTGGAAGATGCGACATACAGGGGCCACATTCCTAATCCACATTTGTGGCCATGGATCATATTCCAAATTAGACGAATCAAAATTGTACACGGATATATGCAAGTAAATGTGATCAATCGAGAGAAAAGAAATCTGGTTTTATCATATATGTTCATGTATGGGTCCATTATATCAGTCAACAACTCAGTTATGGAGGTACAATTTCAACTTCTTTTGAAAGTACACCGTTATGTAAGATAGTTAATACTAGGTACTTCCCACATTTATTACAAACCATAACATAAAATTATCCTTCTACGTACATACCAAGAAACCTGATAAAAAATTAACAAGGCTAAAAGGAAAGAAAAAAAAAAACCCATTCTTGTCAACCCTTCTATTCTACAATGTGACATTTAATGACAGGTTCAATGAAGGGAATCCAATCTTAGCTTTTTGTTCCAAAGGGTTGTTAAATTTATGTCCGAATTTGACAATTTTAGGGTTTCTGCATATCTTGCAGTAGTAGCATTTGGAGAATATGAGGTTGGTGGCAAAAGAATTTTTTTGGGGGTAGGATAATAATGTCTGCGGAAGTACGTACTTTGTTTGAAGACCTTTTGAACTTGATATAATTTGATTTGTCTAATCAATTTTTATATGTGATATTGTCTTCTTAATGACAATTGCCACTTGGCATTGTACTTGTGGAGACGCAATCCAACTCATACAACAGTATATAGAGCCTCCAAAACGCAATTTGAGTGTTTAATGAAGGTACAATATATTAGTTTATCAGTGGCAAAATTTAGTTGAAGCAGCTTTAATTGGCTTATGCATTTCTCTATTATTATTCATGATGGGATATCCTTAATTAAAAGCAAATTATTTATGAATTTGGACTTAACACAAATGGTGTATGGATTTACAAATTAAATTTTAATTTTTAACGATTGCAAATATTTTTTCTATTATTTAGGTGTCGATGTACAAAAAAAAAAAAAAATTATACCTATATATTACCTAGATTTTTTGTGGGGTAAAGTGGAGTATATCTAGATACAAGAATAATAGCTTGCAATTAAATTGTTTTAAGAAATGAATCAAAGAATTAATAAGCTAGACCAATGGTTTCGTCAAAAAAAAAAAAAAAGACCAACGGTCATTCAAAAAGCTTATAAAATTTTGTTTTCAAAGGTTCAAATATATATATTTATGGTCACATACTAAATTCATGTATATTAGTTTCATTGAACGTGAATTGATGCCAAAGAACCAGCGAAGGCTGGCGGTCAAGAAAGCCCCGATAGCAATACGAAATTACCAATTCTTGACGATTCCCGTGAAGGAAGGGTTCGACGATTCCTTGCGGAGAAGGGGACCCCCCTTGACTTGCTAAAGCGAAGTCATTTTTAAGATGTGGAGTACCTTCATTTAATTAATAAAATAGTTCAAAGGCACTATTTTTCTTTGTAATAACACGCTTCGAGCCCCCATTTGTTGGTTGCAGCAAGGTCGTAAATCGTCCTGGACCATATAATGAAGTGTGACTCATCTCTAGGGTTGGAAATCAACTTAACAACTACCAAATTATGCATGATTTGGACCATCACCCATGAGATTTATGGGTCCCTAGCAAATATAATTGGAAAGATCTCTTTCTCTTACGACTTTTATGTAGTTCCTTTTAAAAGGGAGATTTGAGCACAAGATAAAAAGAAGCATTCAAGTAGAATATAAAATTACATAAAATAAAATATTTACTAGATACACAATAATATCATTTAACTTTTTTTTTTTCATATGTAAACTCAATACTATCAATTGAAACAAAACTTATTACATGATAAAGTTATAAAAATAATAAAAATAAATAAATTTGATGTTACACGTTCAATTTATGGCAGATAACAACGCTCATTAGATACATATTTAACGGGGACTAAATGTTCGATAGACAATTGATTGTAAATTTTTTTTTTCAATATTTTTAATTGACAATATTAACAAGAGATACTATTGAAGTTTTTTTGTTGGGTTCAACCACTTTAAATACGAGTGGTACAAAAGAAAAGTATTACTATCCTTTTGTCTTTCCTTTGATTGAATCTAATCCATGATGTCACTTTAACCACCGAGGCTTGCCCTGATTCATTGCAGCTTCGGTGCTACAAAACAAAAGTGTCGAGCAGCTTCAGTTTTATTGTTTCTTCTTTTTATTTTTTTCCCCCGTTAGCTTATTCATTGAAAGCTCTTTCACTTTTACTCAGAGCAATGGTTCGCTTTTCAATGTGTTGAATCCAGCAGCATTTTTCCTTCTTATCATGTATCGTTATCAAGAATGTGCTTTGATCTGCAGCCACCCCAGGCCTCGCGATACTGATGATAAATGACATAAATCAATGATTCATAAAAGAGGATGAAACAAATGCTGGTCATTTTGTTGCACCCCATTAATTCATCCTTCTTTTTTATGGGTTTTGCGTTTTCAAAAAATTAGTTGAAAAAAGGGTGAATGGACTTAAAAATTTCGACTCAGTGGGTGTGAAAACATCAGGAATAGCATTTATTCTTGCATTGGCCGATCGGACCCATTGAAGATATCAGTTTGAGCTTTGAGGCTGTTCTGCTGTTTCCAACTTGTGACCCCAATTAAATGTTGGCCTCAATTTTTTTTATACAAGTTGATATTAAAAACACAGTTTAGTCATCTTATCAAGAATCAATCATCAAAGGCAAGAAAAAAAAAATCTACATAATATTATAAGGTAATAAAAGGAAACAATATGACTAGACAACACTGTAAACCCTAGATTGGCTACCTTGTAACATATATATTATGAAATAGTTGCATATTCGCACCGAACAATCTGGGGGGAAAGCTGTGATGGAGCTGTGTATAAATAAATTATAGAGACCAAGGGTGAAAATGGTGATAAAAAATCATGAATTGGGTTGGTGATGATGGGGTGATGAAGAAGAAGATAAAAAGGGGGGGAGGAGGTAAATGAACAGTGGAAGGGTGAAAGTGGTAAAGATCAAAGTTGAAAAAAATATTAAATTAACGGGGGTTGCGCGGTACTAGAGAACGGGACCGCATTAAACCATAGGGTCTAGCAGGGTGCCCATTTCTTATGTGGGTCATAGCTTTCTCTCTCGATGCTTATAAGTGTTGTCTGTCATTGGGAAATGATGAGGACAAAGTATTTGGTTTGATCAGGGAAAATAGCTACTAGCAATAGCAAGAAGCAACTCTCCCAAGGTGTATGACCAGGCCCCTCCTTTCTTTCTTTCCTTGCTCAGCTATGTGCTCTCTCACACTGTCTCATCTTCGAAAAGCCCACACTCGCTTCATCCAATAATATTTCCTCAACATTTCTCTTTGCAGTGAAAGAACAAAAAAAAAAAAAAAAAGAGGTACTTCCCATTGGGTTTTTCTTCTGTTTTGCTCCCAGACAGAAGAAGCTGCTCCCAATCCCTAAACATCTCTCTCCATTCAACACTTCCACTTCAATTTTCTCTGTTTTGGCAGCAAACAACTACAACGCCCCCTGTTTTTTCCCTGTCTTAAATTTTGCTTCCAAATTAAACCCTCTTTTGGTCTCCGCTACCCCCAATATTACCACACACTGTCTCTCTCCCTAGTTATAGTGTGCTTTTCCTCTGTACGTTTAAAGAAAGCAACCCGTGGCGGAGCTAGCAATATAGCTCTAGCGACTCTAAATCACCACTAAGAAAAAAAAATGACTGAGCCGCAAAGTTCAGAAACAGAGAGCAGCTCCAACTCATTATCTTCGCCTCCGCTATCACCCTCATCTCCAGGTTCAACTCATTCACCTCCTAACTCGGTCCCTAGCACAACCACCACTCCAAAAGCTAAACCGGAAACCACCTCAGATTCTAATAAAAAGATCAAGAGAATGAGGGATTCAAGCAAGCACCCAGTTTACCGCGGCGTCCGAATGCGAAACTGGGGTAAATGGGTGTCCGAAATCCGCGAGCCACGCAAAAAATCACGCATTTGGCTCGGTACTTTCCCTACCCCTGAAATGGCAGCTCGTGCACACGACGTGGCTGCTTTAAGCATCAAAGGCAACTCAGCTATTCTCAACTTCCCTGAACTCGCTAACTGTTTACCTCGACCCGTGTCTTTGGCACCCCGTGACGTCCAAGCTGCAGCTGCCAAAGCTGCCCAAATGGACAAATTTGACTCTCCATCATCATCCACTTCCAGATTGTCATCGCCTTCATCGCTTTCGTCTTTGGTTTCTCAGATGGACTTGTCTTCAGGGTCAGACGAGTTAAGCGAGATAGTGGAGCTGCCAAGTCTTGAGACAAGTTATGACTCGGTTGAGTTGAAGAACGACTTTGTGTTTGTGGACTCAGTGGATGGATGGTTTTATCCTCCACCTTGGCTTCAAAGCATGGAAGATTGTGGGTATGTTTGTGATCAGTTAGTAGTGCCGGAGGGCGTTTTACAAAATGGCTTCGCAGAAGGTTTGCTATGGGATTATTAGTGTTTTCTTTTCTTTTCTTGTTCTTTTCCTTTTTGTGTATGTGAATGTCGTGAGTGTGTATTATTTCTTTTCTTTTTTCTTTTTCCGGTTTTAAGCCCTTCTGCTTTTTCCTTGAACGGCTAAAACTGTCTTTTTTATTTTTTGTTCTCTCTCTGTTTATGTGATATGTTTCCCTTGTACAGCGTTTAGAATGGGAAGGAAGAGGAAAGTGTCATAAATTTCTTCCCTTCTGGTTGGTACAAGCACGTCAAAGGCCTTAAAGCCTTTCTTTCTTTTCTCCCTCTGCTAAGAGACACCATAACACAAGCTTGAAATCAAGTTCAACAATGAAAATTCTATGCCTGTTCTGTTATTGAAAGAAAATATAAATTTCTATGAAAATATAGTATGATAAAAAAAAAAAAAAGTTGAGAGAGTTGAGACAGTACAACTGCAAAATGCAGTTTGGATATATGATACAGGGCTTGTCAAACATAGAGTAAGAAGGGGGGACCTGCCACTAAAAAGCTCTAATTCTCCATGTCATGAATGCTGAGGTTTGCTTTTGGCAGATGCATGCCAGAGGGTGAAATACAGTGAAGTGTTAAAGTGACAATTTTCCCCCATTAGAGTAACAGTATCTATCTACGCTTTTCTACTTTTTAACTTTCCATAAATATATATTCTCTTTTCTTTGCCCGTCATAGATGAACAGTAAGTAGTTGTGTTGTTCAGTCAGTTTCTGCTTGGATTTTTGTTCTTCTTTAGATTGAGTTCAAAAATGGTGGCTAGAATTGCCCTCGTGCATGTAATAGAATAATTGGATTTTTTTTTTAATTTCTCTTTCCGGATATTAGACAAAATCAAAGCAAAATTATATCTGTTCATCCTTGGCAACGAATAATTAAGGATGGATGATCCCAATCCAATCCTGTTCTCATCCCTCTCTCTCTCACTCAAATAATTATGTTGTTGAAAGCTCAACAAATTTTCCAAATAGTGATAAAGGGCTGCCAATTATAAACTCTTTAAAAAGAAGATGTAACGGTTCGCAGGAATTTAATTTCTTACCAACGTCTTTGGTGTTGATATCAAAAAGGTGTCTTCTTTTAGTAAGCAGGAGTAGCTTGCTTTTCTTTTGTTAAATTTATGAGATACTAATAACAATAATAATCCTTTCAAAGCATAATATAGAACTAAAGACTAATTATTACTAATAATTAACTCTTAATATAGAAGCCATATTTTGGTGGGGGTCCATGGGGTTTTTTTTTTTTTTTTTTTTTCTAATGGAGTAATTTTTGTGGCTGGATAGCATTATTGCCACATTCACCACTCTCATGAAAGTGGGTTTAGCCAGATCATCCCCACGTACGCCTAATCCCAATCCTCTTTTGAGAGAGAAAAAAAAAAACATGTTGCTTATTTTTTTTTTAATCTTTAGTAGTATAAGATTTTCCTGGCTAAGGGATCCTTGTCTGTTATTTGTTAGCACTGACTTTCGGCCATATCTCTGGAAGAAGAATTGCATACGCCTCTTCTTTTTAACTTTCTAGCTACAAAGATTATCTTTCTTTCAGGGGCAATTTAGTATATTATGCCAAAAGAATAGTTCGCTGCTTTTTTAATCTGATTAATGACAGATCGAGAACACATGATGTTATGCATTGTCTGGTAGCTGAAAACGTTGAGTTACATTTTCAATGAATAATAATTCTCTTGCTATTTTAAGAATCTAATCCAATGACTTAAGAACATTAGTTTAATTTTCTGATTAAAAAATTGAGCAAAAGACAAAAAAAAAAAAGTATTTTAGTAGTAATTGATTTTCTTTTTTTTTTTTCTCGTCAATGCTGTATCTATATTTATTACATGCATCAATGGTAAAATGTAAATGAATTTCTTTACTGGGTTTAAATTTTTAAGATTAGCAAATTTAACTAAATGCGGTGATTAATTAGCTTTGTATAAATCAATACTGATTTGCCTTTTATGGTTTTTTTTTTTTTTTTGTCAATTTCATAGTTACTTGGGAATGTGGTAAATATTATAAAGTACGATTTAAGTGAATTTCTTTTATGATTCTTTTTTGTAAAAGAGAATACAGTTTTATAATAGAACACATGATGCAGATATTAAAATTTTAATAAATATTTTATTAAATAATATTTTTTAAAAATAATTGTATGATCAATTAATTAAATTAAATTTTAAATTAATAAATTAATAATTAAATATGTTAGAATTTGATGGCTTGCCACATTGAGTAGAGAAATAATATTTAACAATGATCAAGAAATTTACTATTCAAGCCAACAAAAAGAATGTAAGTAAGAGCACAGAGCCGAATTTTGGGTCAGCAAAATATGTTAGACCAAGATAATTAATAACCATGTTTTAAATATTTCCTTCACATTCTAATATAACTCTTCTCTGTTTGTTCCATATTTATTAATATGGAATGTTGTACGTACATCCGACAAAGATGTTGGTCAGCTTTGCAGCCGGCTATATGTTGAACAATTCACACAAACAAATGGTGTACAAAGCTGAGAGGTTATTTAGCCAAGAAGACTAGTAGTTGCTGCTTTTATGCTTTAATTTGATCATGTCAACACCTATTTAAAAAACCCATTTCAGAATACAAGAATAAAGTATGCTAATTGGAACTTGCAATTTAGCTATTGCAAAATTTGAAGTATTAATACTTAAAATTTTCTAACATTTTAATATTGGTATATATCGATAGTCGTATAATTTATTAATAGAATATCAATTTTTTAATTTCAATAATTATAATTAATTTTTATCATCTTAAATATATAAAAAAAATTTATTATATTTATTAATTATTTAAACATTTGATTCGATTATTGAATAACGTACTGTTAATGCTTTTGTGATTTTTACATGGTAGTACAAAAATGTGAGGCTTTAAAGACAAAATATACTTTTATCAACAAAAGATATCTCTTTCCCTTTCAAAAAATGCAGCCAAATAGCGAATACCCCCCAATGGGGTATATGTTACAAATTTCGGGTACTTCATATAAATTTTTTGTATGTATCTCTACTTTCACAAATTCTAAAGCAACAAAAGAAAAAAAAAAAAAAAAAAACCACCATTTTCATGGAATTTTTTTATCATTTTCGTAGTAGACAATTTAACTTTCCTAGACACAACAAATAATTGATAAAACCAGAAATGAAACATTTTTTCTAGTGAATCTTCTTTGATCTCCATACGCCTACATGAATCTGAAAACAAAATTTCCCATCTCTCTCTCTCTCTCTCTCTCTCTCTATACATATATATATATATATATATTATGATCTATACATAGGGATCCCCAACCATATCAGACACCAAAATCTTGAAGGCCACTTCCCATCTTTTTCTTTGATTTTTGGACGCGTTTTCTCCACCCGTAGTAGATTTCTTTGTACTAGAAATGATATCCTTTATCAACCCATTTCATAGCTGTGAGAGAGATTTCAAGCTTCTTCTTCCCAAAAAAATGGTCCCAGATATGCTATGGCCTTTTTTGTCTTGTTATTTGATGACTTTTTTTTTCAATGTCTCTGTCTCATCTGTTTCTTTTTTTTTTCTTTTCTAAATTTTTCTTCTTTCTTCTTTTAGGAAAGATGAGTCTGGGTTTGTTTTACTATTTTTTATAGGAAACTTTTTATTTACATCCATGCACGTTGAGGGTTGAGGGTTGAGGTTATGTTTGTTTTCATTTCAACATGAAAAAAGCCATAATTTGATATACGTTGATTGTTTTCCCTTTTGTCACATCTAAATGTCAAATAAATTAATTAAAATATGCCTTGTGAATTAGATATATATATATATATATATATATATATTAGACTCATGAGTGAAGTCAAAATTTTTGTTTTGGAGCCGAAATGAAATTATGCATTATTCAAAATAATTTATTCAAAAAATAATATATAAGATACCAAGTTTAAACACCATGATGTTATAATTACGTAATAATGTATCAAATGATTTTAAAGAGTGAAAAATATGATTTCTAATGTTATAATTCATATAATTTAAGATAAAAATAAAAGATTTTATAATAAATTAAGAGGGATGCTATTTGCATTCCAAAAAACTCTCAATACATCTAAAAAAATTAACTTTTAAGAAAATTACTTAAATAACCATTAATTAGTTACTTTTTAATCTTTTACAACCCTTTTCAGTAAGATGCCAGAAATGAATTTTTGAAAACTTTTTTAATGTATCGAAAATTTTCAAAAACTTCTTAAATCTACCAAAAATTCATTTCCAAAAAATATTACAATTATCCGAAAATGCAATTCCGAAAAGCATTGCAATTATCCAAAAATATATTTTCGAAAGTAATTTTTTACTTCAACATCTTTGATGCGATCTCTTAATTAATGTTTGACACAATAATATTAAATGTCCCTTACTGTGATCTCTAAATGGGTCTGTAATGATTTCTCCAACATATGAGATATTTAAATCCGACAATAGAAACTTTTAATATTTCAACCAAGTACTGTCATTCAATAATGTTCACAACAGTTTTTCAATTCTAACAAACGAACATTTAAAAGAAATCATTAATTATGAATAACACTTGTGCAAGTGACTATTGCACTATGTGCAATAAGGCAGTCACGCTCCATCGCACATGGTGTAGCATCCAATTTGCACAAACACCTCTTCACATATAGCAATTCCTCTCAGATACACATCTATCAGAATTGCAAAAATGTTGCAAACGTTCTTAAACGAATAGTGCCTGATGGTCGAAAGTTTAAAAGTTTCTATTGACGGATTTGCCAGTCTACTAATGGCATAATGAGGTCAATTCTAGTGTTTCATAAAGTTATTTGATCTTTATTAGTGGTAAAAAGTTATTGTGTGTCATAAATTTATTTCCAAAAGTTTTTGAAGGATTCTGAAAATGAATGTTCATAAATCATTGAGAAATTTAATAAATATATTTTTGAAAATTCTTAAAGGTTTCCAAAGATGAATATCCAAAAGCTTTGAAGAGATTTTAAAAATGAATTTTTAATATATTAAAGAAGTTTCAGAATATCCATTTCCGAAAACTTTCAACAATTTTTAAAAATTCATTTCTGGAATATTCAAATCACCACCCCAAATCGCATCCCTAAACTTAAAATCTTAAATCTTTTAAAATTAAACACAAAATCAAACAAAAAAAAATCAAATGATTTATCTATGATTTTAAGTTATCTAACATCAAATGAGTGATTGGGGCTTGATTTGGGGTTTGATTTGGGGTTTAATCCCTAAAAGGTTTAAGGTTTTCAGTGAAGAAGAGAAAGGATATTAGAAGATGGGTGTTTGGGGTTTTTTAGTAAATTAATATTTTAATTTGGAATATGAAGCAAAAGAAGTAATGCGTATTAATAGTAATGGGATGTGAAAAGAGGAAGTAAGGTTGCAAATAGCACCATTCCAAATTAAAGTCTAACTACGAACTTAAAAAGACAATGGATTATACCTTTTTTAAAAGAATTATGGTAGCTTAAAAGAATATATATTTAACATACATATACTTTCATCACTTATCGCCTAGAATTATGACATGTGAACTACCACATATGTAGCCTTCATTTGCCATTTAAGACCATTAATTAGGCAAATATTCATTTTAAGTTAACTAATTGTCTTTCCTTCTCAATATTATCTATTTGTAACTTTCAGTTTTCATTCTTCAAGAAAAACCTATTCATCTAACTTTTGATTCTAAGAATAAATATTTTTTCACTTAATTTAAAAAAAAAATTCATTCTCTTTATTGGATTTAGGTTTTTTTTTTTTTTGCCTGTTTTAGGTTACATCGAGTACTTTCTTCAATAGCCTTTCCATGAAAAATATTTCATGAAAGGTATGTTACGTCCAATTGAAACAGAACA